TGATTCTTGCTCGACTCATTGACAGCAAAACCAGCATAAAACATAAGTGAAAATTAAAGAACAATTAGATAAGCTTTTGTAATCGAGCACCACAGACTTTAGATACTATGTAAGGTACCTGGAAACCCTAATCAGCACCTTTGATACTTCTATGCTATTCGTGTTCTTCACGTCATAAGAAATTCATAACGTTCATTCGGAAATTCTGCTAAAAACAGCAGGATTTGCATTTGGTTCTAAGAAACACCTTGAAAGTCTTCAAAACCATGACAATCTAAGAATTCAGTTTTTCCACCATACTAAAATGTTGATTTTGTGAAGTCCCTAATCACTAATCAGCACCTTTGATACTTCTATATATTCGTGTTCTTCACTTCATAAGAAATTCATAATGTTCATTCGGAAATTCTGCTAAAAACAACAGGGTTTGCGTTTGGTTCTAAGAAACACCTTGAAAGTCTTCAAAACAATCTAAGAATTCAGACAATCTAAGAATTCAGTTTTTCCACCATACCAGAATGTTGATTTTGTGAAGTCATACGTCAGGCTGCGAGCAGCCGCGTCCAACAGCCTGCTTGATCAGTCCGGCAACCAGGAGGCCTGGTCGACGACCGGGCCGCGGGGACGCTAAGCCCCGGAAGCACCTCAAGGTAAGTCCCCCGCCAATATTAAGCAGCAGTCCAGCGCCTGATGCTTTAACATCTTTCATGTACCAATGCTATCGTGTGACCTTCCACCTGCCGGTGGATAAATAAAGGAATACCACCCGAAGAAACACTCCATAAATTAACTAAACAAAGAATATTGTCTTTCATCTCTTTATTAAAGGAGGAATATATGTTACACTTCAACACACAAAACATTATCTATACAAAAGGGAGCTAAATACCCCTAGATGCAGCACAGCTACCTCAACCATTTGGCAACTTGTCAAGCCAAATTTTTGCCAGTTTCGGAAGCAGCCACTCTCTTTAACAAACCGATTCACGGCACAAGTCAGGATGAGCAACGGGTCTGATGCTTTGTATAAAACATTACTCAGAGTGGCAACATTCCAATGGCCGAGGCACCGCCGCAACACTTGATTAGACGATATGGCAACAAGATTGTACTTCAGGTACCAAGTTTGCAGGCACTGACCAGGTATAATCATTACCTACAACCTCATCACATTCACCTACACAAACTAAACATCTCCAGAGACAACAAAAAAAATATATAAGGCACACACACTGACCTGAGGACGTGGTTATTTTATTATGCTGGTGCATCACTGCACAATTAGCACAGCTTGCAATTTGGAATGGGAATAGGTGGCTGCTAAAGGTTGCAGGTAACATTGCATTTTGGTTTGGATTGGTTTACAAAAGACTAGTGTATTCAGTGTACTGGCAATACAGGTAGAGTAGTTGGCTGATAGTTTGTTGACATAAGCCACTAACAGTGAATATGAAATTTCTTTCAGACAAAATAGATACTTTTATTCAGTGAACTCATCAATCAACATTTAACTCTACATTTCTAAAAAAAAAAAAAAAAATATATATATATATATATATATATATATATATATATATATATATATATATATATATATATATATATATATATATATAAAAATGCCAGCCAAATACTAGAATTAATCTAAAGATTTTTTAACAATAATGTTATACACCAGATTAGGATATAAATTCAATTTCAAGGGTCAAAATAGATGCTTAAGTTAAAAATTACATTCATTCGGTAACTACAAAAGTTCCAAAAATAAACAAAGCTTTTCATGAAATAAAAACTATTTAGTACATATACTGAATTCACTTTTGACAGGGACCTCAAATAAACCCCCGTATATATATTATAGTGTATCCTACCATCAAACCTTGATTAAGGAGTCTAAGGCACTTCTGCATGCACAGATTTTGAATCTTAAGGCACTGTAAAGTTTCTTATTGTAACAATAGATGCAAAAGATGTATAAACAAGAAAAGACTAATGAGTTACACACTGAAAATCACAATGTGATAGATTCAGGAGAAAACGCTGGAAACAGGACAGCCGGCCTGAACCAGCATCATGGATCACCCAGACGACGCACCACTTGACCAATGGGTCAAATGGGTCAAGTCCCGTGGGTCACGTCCCCAGTGGGTCACGTCCCCAGTGGGTCAAGTCCCCAGTGGGTCACGTCCCCAGTGGGTCACGTCCCCCGTGGGTCACGTCCCCAGTGGGTCAAGTCCCCAGTGGGTCAAGTCCCCCGTGGGTCAAGTCCCCCGTGGGTCAAGTCCCCCGTGGGTCAAGTCCCCCGTGGGTCAAGTCCCGCCTCTGCCACGCTCCACAATACTGGGTTCCATCCCACTGTCCTGCTTCAACCATTTTCTGGCTAAAGAGTTCATAAAATACTGCTTTACCTCCAGTTAAACAAACTAAGAGCTATTTGGCAACATGTACTGGCACCCATGGAATCATATTATATACAATAAAAACATTTTAATCTAAATCTACAAAATTGCAGTCCCCCAAATAAGACAGTTAACAATGCATTTTTCTACTGGCGTTAACAAATTTCTTATAATTAATCCCTCAAAAACATTAACACCTCCAGATAAGAGTTTAATAATCAGTTTTAACAGGTGGAGCTCCAAATTTTTTTATATAATCAAATCCTCCCCTCCCCCCCCCCACAAAAAAAAAAATTTGATCATCACCCTGAATAAAAAGGCAGATGATGGATTTCCTGGCCGACATTTTAATAAATTCCGATTTTTTTTTGGTCACTCGCGGCCAGGAAAACCCTACTCAACCGCAATATTAAGTAGGCTAAAAAATTATAATGTTACTCCAAGCTGGATTGACTAGTTGAAAATTCATTTCTAATAAAGTGGAAACAGTGAACATTTCATAAAATTATTACACTTGACTTGTGAAGCAATTTATCCTTCACATATTTAAAGACAATTTATCTCCATCACTGATGCAAAATAATTCTGAAAACTTCTTATATGTGCGCTTTAAACCTTTAAGCTTCCAGTGAGCATGTCCCTCAACCCCTTTCGTGTCATAAGGAGAGCAACTTACTGGCTAGTAACTTACTTGTATCTAACTAACACACTGCACACTTCACTACCATCAACTCTTCCTATACACAGTGAGCCTGATTTAAGGATTTAAGTGCATTAAACACTAAACACCCCTCCATAATAAAATAATTAGTTGCTAAAACTGTGGTGTTAGTACCCAGTTAATGACATCGTGACTGACGCAGAGTTTGGATTTATTAGCCGACTCTTTCTCCTCAAATTGTTCTGCGATGATATTGATAAATCAACGCACACCCGCTAATTTCGTAAGTTAGTCATTTAAATTAATCATATACACACACACACATAATTCTACTGTATAGTACTCGTATTTTCCTAGGTGAAGAAACAAATGCTTGAAATTTATGCGCAATTGAAATCAATATTTCCCTTATATTTGACTAGTTAAATCATTTATCTTCATATAATGACACGACAATGTAAAATGCTTGTACAGCGATGTCTATACTTAAATAATAATAAAATTTATAAACTTATAATTTTTAACTTAAAAAGGATTAATGACAAAAGTCACTAGCCATCACTGGTGTTGCAATGTCCTACACAGTCACCGAGCCACAGTCTCACATCTGTCTACTCAAACATACTTCAAGTAGGGGTAGCCTGGTGGATAGGGCCTCGTAGCCTGGTGGATAGGGCCTCGTAGCCTGGTGGATAGGGGCCTCGTAGCCTGGTGGATAGGGGCCTCGTAGCCTGGTGGATAGCGCGCAGGACTCGTAATTCTGTGGCGCGGGTTCGATTCCCGCACCAGGCAGAAACAAATGGGCAAAGTTTCTTTCACCCTGAATGCCCCCTGTTACCTAGCAGTAAATAGGTACCTGGGAGTTAGTCAGCTGTCACGGGCTGCTTCCTGCGGGTGGAGGCCTGGTCGAGGAACCGGGCCGCGGGGACACTAAAGCCCCGAAATCATCTCAAGATAACCTCAAGTATCTTTGTTCTCTGACCCACCACCCCATATAATCCGTAGCTACATGACCTGCACCTGTAACCCAGATCTCCGGTTTTGGCAAAGCACGACATTCAAGAGCGCCGCCGTCTTCTTGCACACTTCTTATATATCAATTGGTTTTTTTTACCTAACATCCTGCCAACATGTCAGACTCAAAATACAGGCAACATTTTAATGATGGTTTCGACTTCTTGCATACCCTCAAGGTTTTTGCGGTTCAACAAATTTTGAGCAGAGAAGAACTAAGGTGGTGGAGAGTGGTATTCCTAGTACTGTATTCCTATTAGTCTCTTCAATGAACTTCTAGCATACCCTCAAGGTTTTTGCGGTTCAACAAATTTTGAGCAGAGAAAAACCAAGAGGTGGAGAGTGGTATTCCTAGTACTGTATTCCTAGAAGTCTCTTCAATGCTGCTAAAATATGAAGGCCAAAAAATTTTGTCTTTACTGGTATGTACAAACAGAACATGATAATGCAATACAGCAGGGGAAATTAAAGCTAAAGTTGCTGTGCAAGTAATACAACTCGGCAAGAGACGGATGGAGTGTGTGAGCCTGAATGGCCGCTATTGAAGAAGGCAAAGGACTGCATGAGAAATTTAACGTTTGTGTGGTTTTTTATAACGAAGGTGGCTAAGACGCTTCAAACATTCCCCATGATACATTATTTGAATGTCAAAATACATGGAGAGAAAGGGCAAGGTGACAATGCAAGACAAAAAGTACTGCATATTATTTATTTGTAGGACCGAGTCTCTCCCTGTCATTAATAAGTGTGAGAGGAGTGCCAGTGAGGCAACAGCAACGTGGTATTATTTCTGGGCAATGGTTCATCGCTAGTTGACCACAAGAGGGGAAGTTGATCCTCAGAATCATCCACAATTCAAACTTCCTTGACCAAATCCATGGATCAAATTGCAAAACTTTAAACATTGAAAATGGCTAAACAAATTATTTTGCCAGATGCCTGCCTCAAACGAGCTGTAGGGTAACCTAAATCTGTTAAAATATAAATGCCACCTCAAAGACATTGATATAAAGTACTGTATAGCACAAGCATAAGATAAAGCAAAACCATCAATCTCGAAAAAATGACGAAACACACTCTGGATCTCATTTGGTCTGGTTGCTTTTAAAACAATCGGGCAGATAAGACTTTTTTGTGAAAAAAAAAAGTCGAGAAGCAAAAGCTAAGAAAAAACTATGTTTACATTACAGAAACAAAGTCTCTAGAACGTGAGAAGGAATTTATATCAATCTTGATGCTAAATATGAGCTTGTGAAATAAATATGTCCCAATTTAAGATTAGTGATTGTTATATTATACTATAGATATGGCCAAGAGAACATGCCAGATGAAATTTGTTAGAAAGGGTGGTTATAAAGATAGAAAAATGGATATTATGCAGTGTATAATCTAAAAGGAATCTAAAGATCAAAGAGTTTCCAAGTGCCCAACAAATATGGAAGAATTTTTGTTAATTAATGCACACACTTTTCATGAATTAAAAACTAACCCGTTCATATTCTAATAAAGCAGTACTGCAACGTGTTGTCCTTCACTATTAGCCTTCATATCCAAAGATGCAGTGATCGTAAGTCACCATTGTGAAAATGTAAAATTAAGTAATTCACATGCCTGAAACTGGTTACCCAGTTTTTATTCTACCATTCATTTCGTAACGTTCTATATCAAAATCAAAGTTCTCAACCTGCCAACAAAAAAATGTTGAAATTTGTCGATTCAGGCAACCAACAGCTAATGATTCTATAAACAAGTGATAATTCTCCTCAAAATTTATTGAACCCAGCACTGCACTTTCATTCGAATAGAACATTCGAATAGAACACTCTCTTTCGGAATACCAGTCGCACAGGAGGCTCCGACATCTGCAGAAAAATACGGATCCCGTTCACGCTACCCCTCCCTGCCTGCCATACTATATTTCCCCTACAAGTTATTGCTATGTTTTTGGTTTGTTAACAGGACTATCATTGCACAGAGAAGACCAGTGGTGGTGACACTTTTAGAGTGGCCTAACTGGAACATGCCAGGCAGCAGTACCAGCACCGGTTCCAATCCCACACACTATACAAAGACTCGACTGCCTATGTAGAGTCCTTCGGCACACCAACACCTCCCTAGGCCACACAAGTCACAAGTGGAGATTCACAGAGGTGGGTAAAAAGAGATAAGATTTTTGTACATATTACACTTACATATTTTCTTAATTATTGTAATATTTTTGTACATATTACATTTACACATTTTCTCAATTATTGTAATGTATTTTTGTTTATACAGCTTTATAAATATTAACGCATGTATTTTGTCTTTCCACGATCAATATTGGGTGAAACTGGGCCAACGACGGCAGCCATGGAATGTGGGATGAGGGTTGGAACAAATTAAGTTTGTTCAATCAGTATTCCAGTAATTTTTCCCGTCTTTCTACAGCAATATGATCAATCATTTGCACACATTTACATATACAAAAATACATATTGAAGATCATAAATAGCTGCGTAATATGGAAATGTCCATCAACTTTTGTAAACTCTCGGAACCTCTAACATCCGATATTGGTTATCCCTTTTAATTGATCTTTCTTTTTAAATTTTACTAGGCAATTTTTTAATATTTTAAAACCAAATGCATTGTCCATTGTCAATTAAATTCATAAACAGAAAATTATTACAGTATAAACTTCACCTACCGCATATAGTCGAGGGTTCCGAGCACAAGTTGCCCTTCACTTTGCTCATTCAATAAGCATTATTCAAGTAATCTTTTCCTCCTTTCTACAGCAATATACTTTAATCATTAGAGCACATTTGGATAAAAAAATATATTTTGGAAACTAAACAGCTGCACCCTGTGAAATGTTTCGAAACTTTGGTCAACTTGGCGGTGTTTTGCATGCTCCACATTGATTATCCCCACAAGTTGTTTTTTTTTAACAAATAAGACATTAATTTCAAACAAATGTCTATGCCAAATCAATGTTCTAAGCCTACATAATGCTGTAGATTCATACCTTGCTATAATTTCGGGGTTTAGCGTCCCCGCGGCTCGGTCCTCGACCAGATCCGCGGAAATTTTATAAATATACATTTTTCATATTTATAAAATCAATTTTATAAATATAAATTTATAAATCTTATAAATATAAAATGAGAATAAACATTGTATGCATTGCTGAGCTGGTAGGTGAAGAGAGTTGCTGAATTAAGAAGCGCAAAAAAGACCACCCTTCAAATCATAGAGCAATTTATGAAAACTTAGTTTTTTTTCTAATGCTGCCAGGAAACTTAAATAAAAAATCCTAGTATTTCTGCTAAATGTACCCTAGAAATGTAACGAAGACCATCATTCTTACCCAAACACCACTTGTCACTAACTACAATGTGAAGCTACTCCTTGCCCCTAGGAGAGTAGTACCCTAATGTTAATTTAATGTCGTGCTGTATTTTTGGACTCTATTGAAATATATTTAGATAGCGAGGGTATCGTCCAACATCCAACCGAGACCCCCTGTGTGTCCAGCCACTGTTGGTCTCGTACGAAAGTAATTAAGGTGGCGGGCTGTGGGTCAGTGACTGTAGTCGAATCAATATAGGAATCCTATTCAAGTTAACCGTAAGGTTATTCAATTTAATCCAATTAAATTTTAACAATCGACAATTTGACCCAAAAAACACAGCTCTTCCAAATTCTGTGAAACTGCGAGAGGACCACGAGCAAAACAGTTCAATAATTCCCAAGGTGGGTTTCCGTACGCTAACTCGATATCATAGTTTCCTTTGCATTATCGTTTCCTTTGTACATTTTCTTGTGCAGGAAAGAATTCTTATACAAGTCACTTTCCCAGTCATTTCTTATCAATTCAAAGTGGTTTATATTAAAATATAAAAGAAGAGATTGTTTCAAAGCAGTTTCTTTGTACCGACTCTGTAAATCTTGCTAATCATTACACACACACAAACTGGATACTAAATAAATAAAATAAATTATTTAAGTTGCCAGATACAATAAAAAGGCTGAAAGTAAGACAGGCTCAATGTAATAAATGAAGAGTAAACAGGCATTAGCTAAGCAAAAACAAAAAAAAAATCACAACACTTATAAGTAATAAACATTCTATTAAAAGCTTAAACTAAAATAATAATAAACTAGCACCTTTCTTGAGTCATAAAGAGCACTTTTAAAAAGACTTGACTTGCATTTGGCAAAATAATCAAAATAAAAATGAAAAAAAAGGATTACCTACTATTATTACATTAACAAAGAATGTTAACAACAACTTGGGAAGACATCTATCACATACAAAAAACTGGCCATGTAAGAGTTAATGCACATTATTGCCACATTAACTTTGAAAGCTTTGGTTAAGCTGGATGTTCAAAGTAAAATGCCACTAAAGTATAATGGCACCGTACTGTAAGTCAATACATATTCATTCATGCATTAAATATTCTCGGTTTATTTCCAAACCTGAGTATTAAACAAATATAAAAAGCCAAGTTGCCATAGCAAGCTTTGTCCTATGACTGACTGCCCTACAATGGACTAGGAAGTGCGACATTTTTGACAACGCGGTGCCAGACTCCGTTCCAGTTTAGTACGCTATCCTGGGGAGACGAATCTTTGGATTATCGGTGCAAGGCGGTCAAACACTCAAGGAGATAACGGATATCCTGCTTTGTGTTTCTCTTACGTCATTCACTGCTTCTGACTCAGTTTGCTCACTATGGAGGCCAGATTATTACCCTTGGCCAAATTGAGGGCCCCAAGGCTATCAATAGCAGGGAAGGAGGTTTGGCCAATATCTGCCTCAGAGAGTGGGCTGGCAATCCCTGAGAGCTTTAAGTCAGGAGGGGAAGCTAACTTTGAGGTGGCAAGTTTGGTTGGTGTGGTGGCTGCGGTTATGGTGGCTGCGGTTGGGGTCGTGGTGTCGGCAGCGCCACTAGTTGGTTGCTGCTTGCCCGTTATCTTCTTGAAAGAATTCTTGAGTTCCACATTGCGAAGCTTGTGTACATTGGAGAGATGCTTTCTCATGGTGTCACGTGTACGTGTAATGATGCCACAGATGATACACTTGTATGTGATGTTCTGGTGAGTCTCCAGATGAACGCGCATATTGTACGCGTTGGAGAGAACTTTGCCGCACACGGGACAAGGCGTGGGTACCGCCTTCTTTCCCCCGTAACCACCGTCACCGCACAACAATTCATTAAATACAGGATGACCACCTGAAAGTAATTAAAAACCAACACTTAAAAAGACTACTACAAACTTATCAGTCACGCTCAACTAAATAATATCAAGTATAACTGACTTTCTGGTCTTGTACAATACAATTAAATTGCAAGCAAACTACATTAAGAAAATAATTTCAAATAAAGACAAATGTGAGTCATCCTGATTTAATGTTTTGTTTCATTCCAACTGCTTTCTTATCAGTATTGCATGCACGGATGCACAAGGCTACTATACGGAGGAAAAATTAAACCAAAGTGGTTGTTCTCACCTTTAATGGGTCTAATCATCATACTACAAACATATCACACTGGCAGCTAACAGGAGAGTAAGCTGGCTAACTGCTATTCAGGTAAGATCCATTAATCTTCAGGTATTAGTAGTACGTGATCCTCTTCCTATAATTTCATTAACCTGACATTCAAGATAAGACATCACAATAGTTAACATTCATAGAAATTTCTATATACATTATTTTTTTTTCTAAAAAACATACAAATGGTAACAAGTGTTTGGGAACTAAACTTTCAGACAAGTTCACTAAGCACAAGCAGGAAGATACCAAGCAAATATTTGAGTAGAGCCTACTAAGTAAGGTCCTCAGTCTTGATGGAATGCTGTTGTAGCGGTTCTAAAACTGGTGAGGAGATGAAGGTGGTGGTGGTGGTGGTAGTGGTGGTGGTGGTGGTTGTATTGGTACATGTGGAGGGAGTCCAACTGCCACTGACCACCGGCTCCAACATGGACAGCCCACGGCCTTGGCTGAGATCATTTCGGTGCATTTTCAGCACGTGCTTTCGGGCCGATTCGGCATTACGAAACACTGAACCACAGCAATCACAGCGCGACACCTGACGCTGGTGAATTGTCCGGATGTGTTTGTATAGGTTTTGCAAATTAGAAATCACCTTCCCACAGATGTAGCATGCAGGTTTGTTGGTGTGACCTGAAAGGAGAGAGAGAAGCCTTCGTCACTGGCCATATCTTCTGCAGCACAATCCACATCACCAGTTGTACCTCTTGGGGAGGGGGGGTCTACATCACCATTGCTTGTAAACATGGAATGCTTGTATACTTCTACTGGAATGTACGAATAGGACGATGGCCTTCACGGAAGACAACAGCAGTAGCAGCAGCTCTGCGCACAATACAGTGGGGCTTGCTTGCGTACTTCTTTGCAGCCACAAGATTATTAAAACGGGGAGCAATTTATAAAGTTTTTAAGGTGGCCCCACAGCCCCCGACAATCCCCTAGCTTCCCCCGCAGCCAACTTCTCCCCGTGTCTCTTGCTCATATGCACAGCCATTTGTTCTACCTCCCGGAACTTGGCCCCACAAAAGACGCACTTGTGCACTTTCATATCATGTCTCCTGGCTAGATGGTCCTTCAGCGCCCACACAGAGTCCAACGTGCAGTTGCATAGAGGGCACGCGTTTCTTTTGCAACTTTCAACTGCAAAAGAGAAGAGAAAGGACCATCAGCCAGGACACATGGCATCAATCATGACACCCTAACTCTAGGCTTGCCACAAGCTTCATAAGAGACTTTCAGCAGGATTCACAGGATATTTTGGGAGTGTTTTTTGTTTGATTTATTTCCGCCTTGAAACAATACGATACATAGTTGTAAAATTTATATATATAAAAAAAAAATCTTGGCAGGTTTTCCACAATGCCCATAACTGTTAGCACTGGTATACACATTTCACAGTCTCACAATCGAATAAACAAGACACTTAAAAAATGCTGGAGATACAAAGCAAAAAAGTATACACAGACAGGCCCACCCCAGAAGACATTGCTCAAATATGTAATTCCAGGTGCATGTATATATATACACTACATCCATAAAAAAAAAGGAAAATGACAGCAACATACAACTAGCGAAGGTGACAAAAGGTTTCTTTACAAAAGAACATGAATGCTTTAATACAATTTTTTTACAGTCCAAGGTTTATGGCTATACATAAATCCCCCAGCATACCTAGTAAGGTCCCATTGGAGCCATATAACATCTTTGTTTCTGAACCTCAAGCATTTGGATTTGTTGTTAGGGAGTATTAGAAGAATTTGCAGATCACACACATAACACCATTCATTCATTAGTAAGTGAAAAGCGAATCTAATTTACTTGCTTGACTATCTACAACATGATTGAGGCATAGCTACAGCACACCACACAAAGCATACCAAATGCAATCCTTCCAAAATGCTTTTCTTGGAAGTTTCCAGACCTCAGGCAGAGTGAAAGTGAGGAGAGAGAGAGAGAGAGAGAGAGAATCTCATATTATAATTCATAACAACTTGCTATTTAAACCAATATTAAAAAGTTATTTGGCCCATTGATAAATTACTAATAAAAAGATTCAAAATTATGAAAAAAAAGGTGGGCAGTATTTTGCAAAGTAAGGAAAAGCCTGAGATCTAGACGTTAAACAAATTTTGTCTCGATGTTGCCTACCTTGAGCTGAGGTGTCACTGGGTTCTGTATGGCCTCCTCTCCACCCTGCCTGACTAGCGGGAGGTAACACTCCTGCAAGCAAAATATAATAAAAAGTTATCAATAATGAACACACACCCAACACTTAGTAATTTAAAATGTCTACCATGCATAGTTGGACCATGTCAATTATATCCTTGATTGCACACCTCACACACACACGAGAGAGAGAGAGAGACGATTGAGGAAGTGTGTTTGGAAGTCAAAACTAGAAATGACACAGAAAGAAGCAGAAATTAGGCAAGCAATTAGGAAAGAACCAACGGGAAACTTGTACAAAACACTGCAGCTAAAACAAATCAACAAGGGCCGTGACGAGGATTCAAACCTACGTCCGAGAGCATCCCAGACGCTGCCTTAAGCACTTCTGTCATTTGTTTCACTCCATTAAATGCACTCGATGTAGGTTCACGGCCCTTGTGGATTTGTTCATTTGATGCATCACGCTATTGTGATTTCTGTGTGTACTGCAGATAGAAGTCAGTCTACAATAATTTTTAGGTGTTTAGAAAAGGAAATATCATCTAGGTAGGACAGAGCAGCAGAAGAGATGAAAATCAGAGAAAATAGTAGGTTTAGGAGAAGGCCTAAATTCAAAAGGAAAATGTCGGTGATTTTAGGAGGATAGGAAAATATGAGAGAAAACGCACCCCTTAAGGGTGACATTTAATGGAGTGAAACAAATGACGGAAGTGCTTAAATGCCATGAAATTGCAGTGATGAGGATGGCAAACTTTGGTCAAAGGAAGACAGAGAAAAGCTGAAAAGTGAACCTCACTGAAGCAAAACGTCTAAATGGGAATAGAAATGGGGGGGAAAAAAAAATTCTACAAAGAGTTAGGGACTGGAAAGCTATTGAAATGGTACATAGAAACAAAGCAGCAAAATAATTAGAGGAAAGGGGAGAGAAGGATAAAAGGAAAGGGAACATGTTCTTGAAAATTGTATATACCAACATGGATGGAGCGAGATACAAAATATTGGAGCTGAAAGATATAATTCAGCTTAAGGTCCCAGATATTGTTGCACTAACAAGAGACATAACTTATAAAGAAAATATTTGAAATGAGGTCGTATTCCCAAGGGGCTAAACAGTTTGGAGATGTAACAGAATAACTAGGAAAGGGTGGAATGGCTGTGCTGGTGAAAGAACATCTGAAGGTTAGTAACTGGAAACCCTCGACATAATGGCATTGCCGGTCTGGAAAATGATAAACTGGTAATCGTAAATGCCTACAGCCCACCAGCAAGCAACACATGGACAAAGGAGGAACTGGATGAGAAACGAGAGGGGCCTCATAATGGTCACGAGAGATTATAGTAAAAATAGATAAAGATAACTCACGATTGCTGGTATTATGGGACTTAACTTTAAAGCAACAGACCGAGAGGCCTATGAAGCAAGAACTGAGGACATTTGGACAGGCAGATTTGTAAACCTCATTCTGGAGGCATTCATGTATCAACATGTAAAGCAGGCCACAAAAAAAGAGGGAAGGGGATGTTCCATCAGTACTGGGTCTAATATTCACCAGATAAGAAGAGGAGGTATTTGACATCCAGTACCTTCCTTCCTTGGGAAAAGAGTGATCATGTCCTGATGGACATTAAATATGCTTTGCGATATAATCTAGAAGAGAATGGGGACATTAAAACAGTTGATAAACTTGATTTCAAGAGAGGACACTATGGGGAACTTAAATTTTTTTTAATGTGTTTAATTGGACAGACTTGTTGCTAGGCAAGAAAATAAATGAGAAGTATGCCAAATTTGGCAAAGTATACGATGAAGGCACACAAACATTCATACCAAAACAGAGATCCAGAACTAGACTGGTTCAATAGAAATTATGAGGGGGGCCAGAGAGAAAAAGACAAGAAAATGGGTTCAATATAGGAAGAGGCCTAACCACAAACATACCAATACTACAAACAAACAAGAAGCAATTACACAACAGTGAGGAGAGAGGCAGAAAGGAACTTTGAGAAAGGTATAGCAGACATATATAAAACTGACCCAGGCCTTTTCTATAAATTCATTAAAAGTAAGCTGCAGGTAAAGGATAAAATCCAAAGATTGAGAACAGGGGAACAGGATTACTGAGAACGAAAAAGAAATGTGTGAAATGCTAAATGAACAGTTACAAAATGTATTTGTACAACATGAGGATATCATAGAACCAGACCTAATACCCATTCCAGAGCAATAAAAGTCCACTACGGGTTCACCATAGCCCGTGCTACTTGGTACATTTTGTTCCAAGTAGGGAATCTTAAACATCATTATCATCCAGAGCAAGCCATAGTATACATAGAGGTATCTCAAGACAGAGTGGAAAAATTACTCAAGGAGCTTGGAAGAAATAAAGCAGCTAGACCTGATGGAGTTTCAGCTTGGGTGCTGTGAGAATGTGCAACTGAGTTAAGCATTCCACTCTAATTAATATTCCAGACATCCTTGTGCACAGGAATCTTAGCAGATATATGGAAAAGGGCAAACATAGAAACAATCTGTAAAAATGGTGGTCAAGAGGAACCACTAAATTATAGATCTGTATCGTTAACAAGTGTGGTAGTCAAAACACTAAACACAATAGTTAAAGCCAAATGGATTGAACACCTAGAGTAATGCCATAATAATGGACAAACAGTATGGTTTACGAACAGGAAGATCTTGTGTAACAAATCTTAGTTTTTATGGATCCAGAGATAATACAGGAAAAGGGTGGTTAGGTTAGGTTGGTTTAGGTGTATCTGGACCTAAAAATGGCTTTTGACAACAACAGGTTCTTCTGGAAACTGGAACATGCTGGAGGATTGACAGGGAGACTTCTGGCATGGATGATAAACATTCTAACAGACGAAGGCTATAATCAGAGAATATATCTGGCTGGAGGAATGTTACAAGTGGAGTACCACAAGGTTCAGTTCTTGTCATCATCTACATAAACGATCTACCAAAAGGAATACGAAATTATTTGAACATGTTTGTGGATGATGCTAAGACACTGGGGATGGTAAGAGGTGCAGATGATTACTATGCCCTTTAAATTGATCTAGATAAAGTAAGTACTTGGAGCATAAAATGGCAAATGGAATTCAATATGGAGAAATGCCGTGTTAAGGAATGTGACTTCGGAGAAAATAGACCATGCACAACTTACAAATTATGTGGAATAGAAATACAGAACTTTAATAAAGAACGAGACCTAGCGGTGGTTTTGGATAGTAAGCTGTCGCCAGAGGAACACAAAGAACAGTGTGAGAGGAGCGTATGCATCACTTTCCAACTTCAGACTTGCTTTTAATTATATGGATGGTGAAATACTAAACTGTTTATGACTTCTTGTGAAACCAAAACTGAAATATGCAGTTGTATGGTGCCCAAATCTCAAGAAGCATAAAGAAACTGGAAAAGGTGCAGCAGCATGCTACAAAATGTATTCCAGAACTGAGAAACAAGAGTTACGAGGAGAGACTACAGACATTAAACGCGCCAAAACTAGAAGATAGAAGAAAAAGATGTGATATGATCACCACATACAAAATTCTAACAGGAATCGACCAAATTGACAAGGAGGAATTCCTGAAACCAGCAACATCATGAATAAGAGGACACAGTTTCAACCTAAGGAAACAGAGGTGCCAAAAAAAAAACATTAGAAAGTTTTCTAGCTTCCAGGTACCTATTTACTGCTAGGTAACAGGGGCATCAGGGTGAAAAACATTTTGACCATTTGTCTCCGCCTCCACCGGGGATCGAACCCGGAACCTCAGGACTACAAATCTGCAGCGCTGTCCACTCAGCTGTCAAGCGACCTTTGCAGAATTACAGAATATTTCAGAACCCAAATGCTTCCACTGTATCCCAAGAACAACAAGGTTATCTTGAGATGATTTCGGGGCTTTTTAGTGTCCCCGCGGCCCGGTCCTCGACCAGGCCTCCACCCCCAGGAAGCAGCCCGTGACAGCTAACACCCAGGTACCTATTTTACTGCTAAGTAACAGGGGCATAGGGTGAAAGAAACTCTGCCCATTGTTTCTCGCCGGTGCTGATTTGATGCAGCTGATTTTTGCAGCTGATTTCAAAATCTGAAGTTTTCAATATTCAATTTTATAATTATTTTTTTATTTTCTTGTTTTTCAAGTTACACTGGTGTCATTTAGACAAATTTGGAGCATTTGCCTACTAGATTATTCACAAAACATTTGAAAGAGTTTCAGAAAATTTTAAGAACCGAGTTCAATGTCACACATCTTATGAAGTTTTGCGCAGTTTAAGGGTTAACAGATGACAACAAAGAAATACTGATGCTGCTTTCAGTGAGCCCCCTGAACACATTGAAAATCAGTGAACAAAACAAATTCTTTATGAATGTGATACAGTACCAACATTGAACCATATATCAGACATCACCCTAACCCCACTGGACTATTGAAGCAGCCACAGACAGCATGTCAATACACTCATAACCAGGCACAGACACCTGGAATTCTATATTCATCATTGCAAAAAAAGAAAAATCAGACCCTAAATATCTTTTGGAGACAGAGCCTTAGATACATATTGTCAACATGCTTACAGCAGCAGATCTCTCTCAACTCCACATAAAAGGCACAAAAAGTAAACACCGACAGCTCCGGTCGGTAAACACCGCTCCTGTCGGTAAACACCGACAGGGAGCCGGTCGGCCGAGCGGACAGCACGCGGGACTTGTGATCCTGTGGACCTGGGTTCGATCCCAGGCACCGGCGAGAAACAATGGGCAAAGTTTCTTTCACCCTATACCCCTGTTACCTAGCAGTAAAATAGGTACCTGGGTGTTAGTCAGGTGTCACGGGCTGCTTCCTGGGGGTGGAGGCCTGGTCGAGGACCGGGCCGCGGGGACACTAAAAGCCCCGAAATCATCTCAAGATAACCACTCTAACATCACACACCACAAAATTCTTGAAAGTGCTAAGAACAAAGATAAACATGTGGAATCACAATTTCAATTTGTTCAATGTGAATAAATGCCATGTTATGGAATGCA